GGGGCCTGGTCCGCACCTCGGTTTTCCAAAACGACCCGACCCCTGTGTTTCTTTTCCATAGGAAATGGATTTTACCATGGGAGAGAAAGCACAACTCGGCTCGGGTGCTGTCTTCTGATTGGTCGGTGCTGTCTTCTGACCCAGGGTCGACAACCCAGGCTTCGGATTGGTCCGATTTCGATCCTGTTTTGGGGAAGGGTTATCCATCCATCAGACGTTCAGTCCCTCACAGAGTACAGACGTTCATCAGATACGCATCGCTATCATGACGAGCAACCCAAGTACGCCCTATCGTTTGGAGAGGCAAGACATCACCCGCTCCAGACGATTAAGAACCGCTAACCATACCTATCGTTTGACTTTCAACCCAGACTACTTGGACACCGTACCACCGGAACGCGTTCCCATGGAACTGCCAGTTTTATTTGACAGGGTCATCGATGACTTTTATGAACAGATGTCAGGCCAGAAGGGAGACCGTATTGGTCTAGGTATCGATCATCCCGCTTTGAACACTCCCATACGGATCCCCTTTCGTCGCTTTGAAGATCTCCATGGGCTCGATATTTTGCATGCCGTGGAAAAAGTCCAAAAGTCCAACAAAGCCCTGAACATCGATGCCACCATGGTGGTGACTTTAGTACACGTCGCAGATCCCGACAGGCTAGGATCGGGCAGTGGCGGTCATCATCTGAAACACGTGATTGGACTCGAAGCCTTTTTAACACGCAAACAGTGCATTGTACGGATCAACAACCAAGATCAATCCTGTTTGGCACGGGCCCTGGTGGTGGCACAGCATTATGCCCAGAAGCCTCACCCTCTGACCCAAGAATGGAAAACCGAGCGAGTGAGACTGACGAGAACGGATCGCGTCGACGTTCAAGGCATACGGGCACGGGACTTGTTTCGACGTCTTGGCCTGCCTGAAGGCCCCTGTCAGGGCCTGGACGACCTCGCACGCGTGGGACGCGCCTTGGTCCCCCTGAATTATCAACTGAAAGTCTACAGTCAAGAGGTGGACCAGAGACTGTTGTACAAGTGTGATGAGGCTCCACCCCACGCCACCGTGTTGCATGTCTATCATCATGATCAGCACTACGATGTCATCACGTCCATGCCCGCTTTTTATGGCTCTAACCATTTCTGCGAACGCTGCGACCAACGTTACGACCGTCCCGAAAAACACCCCTGCACCAAGGAATACCGCTGTCACCGCTGCCTCCACTCTACCTATTGCAAGCCCCAGGTAGAGCACGGGATCCCTTGCTTGACATGTCAACGTTGGTTCCCCAATCCATCGTGTTACACTCGACACCTCCAGTCACCGTCAGAGGGAAAACCCAGCGCCTGCCAATCGATTCACAGGTGCCCGACCTGTTTTCATCTGGTCCGCGTCTTGGAGACCCCCATGGTTCACCATGAGTGCTTCGACGAAGACCATCCCTGCTTGGTGTGCCGAGAACCCATGACCCCAGGCCATCGCTGTTACATGACGCCTCTCCGTGAAGAAAACGAGGAGGAGGGGGAGGGGGAGGAGGGGGAGGGAGAGGAAGCGGAGAAGGAGGGGGAAGAGGAACAACATCACGTACGAGACAATGTCCAATACGCCTTCTACGATTTCGAATGCATGCAAGACACGGGGGAACACATTCCAAATTTGTGCGTGGTGCAACTGGGATGTGGACGGTGCATCAGTGACGTCAGCAAGGACTTGTGCGAACACTGTCCATGGAGAGAAGAAGGATATGGTCCCAGCCGTGAGATCGTGTTTCGAGGCCCCACCACGCGACATGATGTGTGTGTGTGGTTGACCACGTTGGCTGAAAAACCCAAAAAGAAGCCCCACCCAGAGGAAGAGGAGGGCAGCACACGCAAGGGGACAACAGACCGCCTGGGGAAAAAAAGAAAACGGGATGACACCCCCTCAAGAAAGCACGCTTCCAAACGTCCACGACATGCATCACCCCAACAGGAGGCGGAGGAGGAGGGGGAGGGGGAAGAGGCCATGGAAGTGGAGAAAACAAAGAAGCCAAAGAACAAGAACACCACTTGCCATACAGTCCCGAAGGAGGATCGCATTTATGTGATGGCCCACAATGCACGATCGTATGATTTACACTTAATCCTGAAGGGTCTGTCCCCCCTCCTGGTGACACTGCCCACCAAGATCCGACATGGCCAACACATTTTGCAGATGACCCTGGGACGGTTGTGTTTCGAAGACAGCTTAAATTTCATCCCTTACCCCCTGAAAGCCTTTCCCAAGAGCTTTGGGCTGAAAGAAATGAAGAAAGGGTACTTTCCGCACTTTTTCAATACGGGAGTCAACCAGACCTACAGAGGTCCCTATCCACCAGCCGTCACGTACGATCCCGATGGCATGTCTCCCGCGGAACGCACCGCCTTCCTCCAGTGGCATACTCAAAAAGTGCAAGAAGGAGCTTTGTTCGACTTACAAGGAGAACTTTTAGCTTACTTCCAGAGCGATGTGGACATTTTGAGACGGGGATGCGCCGACTTCCGACAGAACGCCATCCACTCGGTTGGCATGGATCCCTTTGTGGAAGTGATGACAGCTGCTGCCTTCACCATGAAATCCTTTCGAAAACACGACCTGAAACCCAAAACCATCGCCATTCTTCCACCTCAAGGCTACCAACCCAAGAGAAACTATTCCCAGGCCTGTATGCACTGGCTCCACTATCTGATGGAAACGGACCCCCATCTGCACCTCCAGCACGCCAGGAATGGAGGTGAACAAGAGTTCACGTGTGGAGAGGGCCACCATCGGTACAGCGTGGATGGCTACGATCCAGCGACAGGCACCGTCTACGAATTCCTGGGCTGTTTCTGGCATGGGTGCCAGACCTGTCACAAGACCCAACGTGGAGAACCGCATCCCGTCCTGGGCACGTCGTTGGGAGCCCTTTACACCGACACCCGCTACCGCTTGAGTCTGCTGAGTCAACACCCTGAGGTGAAACGGATCGTCACCCTGTGGGAGCACGAGTTTACGACAATGCAACAGGAGGACTCCGCTCTGCGTGCTTTCTTGCAGGGACCCCGCTGTATCCATGTCCCCGGGCCGCTCAACCCTCGCGACGCCTTCTATGGAGGACGCACCAATGCGACGCGATTATGCTACGAAGCCCAAGAAGGTGAAACCATCAAGTACATTGATATTTGTTCCCTTTACCCCTACATTTGTAAGACCGGAGCGTTTCTCACGGGACACCCGACCCTTCTCCATCAACCCCCTGTGGACACGTTGTTTGAACTGAAAGGCCTGATCCAATGCCGTGTCCTACCCCCGAAACGACTCTACCATCCGCTACTGCCTTACAGATCGGGTGGCAAACTGCTCTGTCCTTTGTGTCATACGTGTGCCGATGCCCGGTCAGATACCCCCTGCCAGCACACGGACGAAGAGAGGTCATTGGTGGGGATGTACGCCACCGTAGAACTCCAGGAAGCCGTGAAGAAGTATGACTACCGGGTGCTTCAGATCTACGACGTTTGGCATTTTGACACTTTTGCACAGCATGACCCCGGCACCCAGCAAGTGGGACTCTTTGACACTTACATCGATCGGCATTTCAAGGAGAAGCTCGAAGCCAGCGGATACCCCGAGGGATGTACAGATCACGACGCTTACATCCAGGAAATCTACGACAAAGAAGGCATTGTCTTGGACAAGGATCGCATCGAAAAAAATCCAGGACGTCGCACGATTGCCAAGATGCAACTGAATTCGCTCTGGGGCAAGTTTGGACAACGGGTAGACTACAGTCAGAACGTCTATATCAGCGATCCTTTACAGTACTTTGCCTTGTGGAGGGATGAACACAATACCATCGAGGATGTGACCGTGGTCAACGAACACATGGTGGAAGTGACCTATACTCATCGGAAAGAATACCAAACCCCTCATTCTCATTTCAACGTCGCCATCGCCGCTTGGGTCACCGCCCAAGCACGTCTCAAGCTGTACGAGACCCTTGCCCTGGTGGGTCGCAGGGTCTTGTATTTTGACACGGACAGCGTCATTTACATTCATCGACCCCACGACGCGAATCCAGAGCTGGGCCATTCGTTGGGTGAGTTTACGGATGAACTGGACGGAAACACCATCAAGACGTTTGTGTCGGGAGGTCCCAAAAACTATGGCTACGAGTTAATGAACCCCAGACCCGATGGAACGCGCACGACCTGCAAAGTGCGAGGGTTCACTTTGAATTACCGAAACCAACACCATCTCAACTTTGACACCATGAAAGGACTGATACTGGGACAACGGCCTGGGAAAGAGGGGGAGAAAATCAGTTTGGATTACCCTCATCAGATCATTCGAGAAGGACCTCGGTACGAAAACGCAATTGTGACCCGACCCTCCCGAAAAGACTATCGTACCGTGTACGACAAGCGACGTCTCGTCTACGACGACACCACAGGGCTGCCTGTAGATACGCTCCCCTTTGGGTACAGAGACGACTTTCACTAAAAAAAATTCATGACAGCGGATCGAAACCGAATCGACATGGACCCCTACAGAAAAAAACGGATCGAAATCGGACCAATCCGAAGCCTGGGTTGTCGACCAATCAGAGGCCGCGCTCGGACCAGGGTGGGCTCTGATTGGTCGAACCGAGGTTGTGCTTTCTCTCTCACGCTACAAGCCTAACCCTATGGAAAAGAAACACAAGGGTCGGTCCAGTTTGGAAAAAAATTGAGACTCAGACCCGACACCGGAACGGACCAATCAGAAAGCAGGACCTCCGTGGCTTTTAATACGACCGACGCTCTCCGGTCATCACTTTTCACTAAACGGACCGAGCAACAACATCGTCCCTCTGATTGATGTTCCTCACGTTGTGTTGGTTGTTGGCGTTTTATCTGGAAGATACACGTGTTTGGAGAGAGTACCATCAAGTGTTGACGCATCTCCGTGAAGACTTGGAAAGAAACAACAACAACAACGAACAGAACATCCGGACAACATGTCGAAACGGTTGAATGACAAGACACGAAGCGACATGAGTGGCCAAGGAAGCACTGGAAATGGGAGCGGTGAAATGACTGCTGAACTGTGGGGTGAAGTGTACGACTTGTTGTGTTTAAAGATGAAGACCGACGACGCGTACGCCAAGTTACGTGCGAAGGGCGACAACCTGATGTGCGACCAGATACGTTCAAAGATGAGGAAGCTGACTGAACCCCAGAAAGGAACATCGAAGAAGACGATAAAGAAGATCCAGAAGAAAAAGACGAGCAAACCCACAGCCGTTGTTGTCCCCACCGCAGCAGCAGCAACAACACCCATCACCACCATCACCACAGCGCCAGTCACCCCCACCACCACCACCACCACAGCAGTCACAGCAACCACTGCAACAGCGACAACAGACACCCAAACGAGGGGGACATCCTTTTTGAAACCTGCAAAAAGACGATCACGGAAGAAATTATCTCTGAAGATCTCTCCTCAAGAACAACTGTAAGTACCCTGCTCTTCTTTGTCTCAGTCATTCTTGATGTGATGTTGATGATGATGATGATGATGATGGCGATGTTGATGATGACTATACCTATGCCTATGATGAATGGACTCTGTCCTTTGATTGACAGGACCCCTGATGTCAGTTCAGCCCAGACCGTGCTAGAACAGTGGTGGGAACAAACCCCTCGGGAACCCACCTATTCACCGAATGCCCCTGTGACGATTGCGACGGATGACCTCGATGATCATGAAGCGCTCAAGCTGGCCACTCTCCCTTCCATGGATCTGGACACGCTCCCCCTGCTTGAGGCTTCTTGGTCACCAGCATCACCGGAAGATGTTCATGTCTACTCCTCAGGTATGCCCATGGTTTGCGACGATGATGATGGTGACAACAACGTTGACCTGGATCCTTATGGAGAAGCTCAACTCACTCCCCTACAACGCGAATGTCTAGTTTGCCGACACAACAACATGTTAAGATAGATCAGTTGCAACAGCGGGCAAGTGATGTGTCATGCCTGTGGTCTGGAGCTCATAGACTGTACTTGTAGTATGTTGACCTATGACAGCATAGTGACACATGATGACAGACCTATCGCATCTGAGGATCACATCTTATGGTGATCCTCCTCTTCGCTCGAAGAACTTTACAACACGTAAGCTGCAACCGTGATCAAGTGATGTGTCATGTCTGTTTCAGGGAGGCCATAGACTGTACGTGTTGAACGGATGGACCTCTCACATGGTTGAGGGAGGACCACCTCTTATGGGATTGAAGACAGAAGAGCTTGAAGATGGAAGAGGAAAACGTTGTCGCGTTATTGTTGTTGTTGTTGTTGTTGTAGGGACATGCAAAGCACTCCCTCCTCCATTGACTTTTCGTATTTCCATTGTATCTGGTTGTGATTGTTTTTTTCATTATTAAACAGTGATTGATTGAACTGACTCTTTGTGTCTTGATTGATCTCAACTCCAATAGAGTGCCGAACCGAGGGTAGAGGTTGAGTTGAGATGTCGTTTACGTCGTCTGTCCGTCTGTCTGTCTGTCTGTCTGTCTGTCTGCCTGTGCGTCTGTCATGTCCGTGCACATGCTCGTTGTAAAAGAGAAAGATAAAAGTAAAGAATAAAAAATAGATAAAAGAGAAAGGCTATTCTTGAAAGATCAGCTGCCTGGTGTCAGTCATTCCAGTACGCATCGATCATCCCCACACCCACCGTGTGACATGTCATGTCATGGATCATGTCATGCCTCACGCCGTGTGTCCGTCAACCCAAACACAGGATGACGTCACGTCATGAGGTGGAGGAGGTGGAAGCTAAGGTCATGACCTTCCGTTGAAGGGAGTAGGGTGGAGAGTTTCATAAAAGCAGGCGAACCCTCAGACCTTCTTTCAGTGAAGTCACAGTCATCATGGAGCAAAGACGTTCTATGAATGCCATGTCATCCTCCTGAGATGTCGTCACCGATTCCGAGTGGGTGTCTGATAAGGCGGTAGAACAAGAAGCGAGAAAACGTCCACTCTTGATGGACGACACACTCTTGATGGACGACACATGGCGACTCAGTGACATTCTGGAGAGACCTTTTCCTTCTTGTGTCATCCTTCTCATCCCCACTATGATTCATTTCAAGAACGTCTGAGGTCTTTTCAAACGTGGCCTAAACAGATGACCCAGACCCCTTATGACATGGCCATGGCTGGCTATTTCTATCCAGGACGAGGTGATCGTGTGATCTGTTATTGCTGCGGTGTGACACTCCGCCAATGGGAAGTCACAGACCAACCCTGGAAAGAACATCTGAAGCACGCCAAAGTCCCCTGCGAATACTTGTGCGTGTTTTGTCCTGATGGAGAAGTGAACGAAAAATACAGACGTTTGGTGTCCCAAGAAGCACGGAAGAGAAGAGTGGAGTGTCTTGTACACCCCAAGTGACAACGTTTCTTTTTTTTTTTTTCAAAGTGGTCAGACGTTCCTACCATCGTGGTCACCCCTCGTGTTCACAAAAATCACAGGGATGTCCCCCCTCATCCTGTGACTTTTGTTTTGTTGTGTTGGTTCATGTGATCAGGGGGATTAAATTTGTTTTAAAAACTCATAGTCGTGTTATGTTGTCTGTAGGATGAAGAAAAAACAAAACAGGATCGAAATGCACACCCCGATAAAAACCGGATCGAAATCGGACCAATCGGAAGCCTGGGTTGCCGACCAATCAGAGACCGTGCTCGGACCAGGCGGGGCTCTGATTGGCCGAACCGGGGTTGTGCTTTCTCTCCCATGTTAAAATCCATTTCCTATGGAAAAGAAACACAGGGGTCGGTCCGTTTTGGAAAACCGAGGTGCGGGCCAGGCCCCGGAACGAACCAATCGGGGGCGCTGCCTGGGGAACCAATCGGGAAGCAGGGTGTCAGTGCCTCTCCTATAAAAACAAAACAAGAGCGTAGCCACTCACACACACTGCATTCTATGAAACCCATCATGCCAGCTCGATACAGTTGTATGAAGTGCCAGACCGACAGTCACAGTTACCTGTACTGCCCTGAAGTGACATGCCTCGAGTGTCACGATCAAGGTCACCGTCACTATGTCTGTCCGAAGATGAGCAGTCAAGAGAAACAGAACCTGGGCCCCTGTTACATCTGTGGAGCTATGGGTCATTTCGCTGCAGATTGCCCAGAACCCCGTCGAAAGAAGACACCCCAACGCCTGGACCGCTGTTACAACTGTCAAGTCGTGGGTCATTTCGCTGCTGATTGCCCAGAACCCAGTCGAAAGAAAACGTTAGCAACACCGTCCACGTCGACACCCGTGGCATCCGTGGCAACCGTGACACCCGTGGCACCCGTGACACCCGTGACACCCGTGACACACGTCCTTCATCTCATCGAAGACATGCATGCCGATGTCCTCGACCTAAAAGAATGCCTCGCACAACTCCGTGTAGGCATCAGACCTCGTGTAGAGAAAAGAAAACGGGACAGAAGCCCCTCACGAAAACACGCTTCAAAGCGCCGACGACACCTTCCGTCCGAGGATGAGATGGAAGTAGAGGATGAAGAAGAGAGATCATCTGAACAAAGTGGCTAACGCATGGGCCATGCTGCCCCACTGTTTTTACCCGTTTCCCATCGTTTGCAGTTTTTCCAGTGTTCCAGTGTTCCTGCCGTTTCCTGTCGTTTCCAGTTTCCAGTTTGTTTTCCAACGGCCCTTTTCAGGGCCACCCATCTCTCCCGAAAGACAGCTTTTCCTCCTTTGCTTTGACGACCCTACAACCCAGCCCCACCACAACGTGAACCCACCCCTCCTCCTTATAACCTGGTTTTCCCATTACTAGGTATTGGGAACATGGAATGCCGACATTGGTGGTCAAGTGGGATATGGTTAACACGTCTCTTGCAGGGATAGACACGGCCATTACTCCGAGACTTGTGAAAATTTAGACCGACCAGTTGTTTTCTCCCAAAACGTTGTTATTTCACACAACCACTACTCCGAAATGAGCTGTGGACTAGTTGGATAGGACAAATGGTGTCTATCCCTGTTTGGTAGTGTGTTTCTTGGTTTGATTTTTAACGCCATACTAAGCAGTATTCCAGCCATATGACGGCGGTCTGTAAATAATCGAGTCTGGACCAGCCAATCCAGTGATTGACATCATGAGCATCGATCCACGAAATTGGGAAACGACATGCATCAATCATGTCAGCGAGCCTGACCACCTGACCCCTTTAGTTGCCTCTTACGACAAGCATAGTCGCCTTTTACGGCAAGCATGGGTTGCTGAAGACCTATTCTACCCCGGGCTGTTTGGCGGTATTTTATCTGTACCAAGCCAGGATATCAGGAGCTTCACACTGTTTATAAAAGATGGGAATGAAACTTTGGTATTCAGCATGACCAACAAACACATCAAAGTTAATTCTGCTCCACAACCAAGTGCACATTTCACTTGACGTCTCGAAATAATATTTTAAGGCAATATTGTTTTGCTAGATTAATTTAGCAAAAAATTGGCATTAGCAGAGTCAAGTGATTCAATTAAGTGACACCATAAAAACTAACAGTCTATATTACCCAGGTCACTTTGTTTGAATAACACACACTGCTGTAGATGATGTTCCTAACACAGCACTACTTTCTGTAAAGACAACATCAACGCAACTAAAAGACTTTAATTTTTAATATACAAAAGAAATACAAAATCAACAAGCACAAATAATACTTGAAAATTGTTCATTATGCTACAAAATAGCTGGTAGGAATTGTGTGCAAATAGTTCTACATTGAATTTAATGACATTGACCTCAGTAGAAACAAACAAAGAAATAAACAAACAAATGCAATAAAGAAATCTTGTTAGACTGAACTAAGTAAGCATGGAAGCCACACCATGCCTCTTCAGCACCAGCTGCTCACTCCCCAGCCTTGGAAAATATTTTTGGTAAGATGATACCAGAGGACTTGTGAACACCTCCCTACACTTGTCCTAGAGTTTGAAGCTAGCCCGGCTTGAACAAGACAAAACTTTCTGTCAGCTTTATTCAGTTCCAAATTGTAGCAAGATTAAAACACTGAGAACTAGTTCAGGATCATAGTCTTCAAATGCTACAAGTCAATAAGGACTACGATTTTTGGATATTTACTTGTCCTCAGCCCAGCTTAGTCGTCTCAAGCGGACTAGTGTGAATTTCCAAAGCTGAATTGGTAACAAGGCTCACAAGAACAAATTGGTTCATCTGCTGTGTCGTCATTTGTGTGAAGTGCTACATGTCAAAGACATCAACAGGTGTGAACTTTGTCATCAACTGAACATTCTGAAGAGTGGCTGTCTGAGAACGACATGGAACTTGTTGAACATTCAAAATTGATCCTACCTTTGAACAAGCAATTGATGATGGATCATGAATGGGAATAGAAAAGTTTTACATTAAAGGTGCTCATCCTCACAAGCCAGTACAGATTATGATTACACTAAGAATCTATATCTGATTGGCCAGTGACCATCTTTACTACTCAACTAGTCATGTTTGATGTGCTTACTAGTCTCGTCATCAGTGATCCTGTTCGCATTTCAAGTTACCACTCACAGTCTGATGGCAGTCACAGGATAATTTCATTATCACACAGATATTTGCGTAAAACAACATGTAAATTGTGAACGTATAATGATAAATCTGTTCCACTAGCAGGATGTAAGGGTCTTGCGAGCTGAAAGTTTGTGTTCACCCATCGACCTTCTTCTGGTGGTGGACAAGCCCAATCAACTTGTTAAAGCCTGCACACGCTGCTACTGACACATGTACCTCATACCATCCCGAAGAATGCATGAATGCAATATCACAGCTGGAAACACTATATCATACCATTGGGATTTACAGTCTAGTAGGGCTGGGATGGGTAATTCGGGTACTCGGGTGGGTCCTGAGTAGGGCCCGGGTACCCACAGGACTACCTGGACCCCTGGTTAGTCACATGATATATTGTTTAACGGCAAAAATTCACAATAGCTCTGTGATTACACTACAAGTCGCTAATGTTCACATTTCTTTCTGGTGTTGCACACATTCCTTTTGACTTGTAAATGTTTGAGTAAACATAAAGCTTCAGTCAACTTCAGTGTAAGCATGATCTGATCGTTTGATATAAGTATCTGAATAGTTTTGCCAGGGCTTCAGTTAAGCAATTCCACATTTGACATTTAGTTACCAACTCTTGAGACCAACAGTGGGTACCCGGGTAGGGTCGGGTAAATTTGGACACTTCCCAGCCTTACAGTCTAGAGCATCATGGTGCAGATCAAACAATTATTCAGACAGGCAAAGGTATGGACACTAGACACCTCACAGACCAGACTCGCTGGGTAATAGTCAAGCCCAATACACAGGACATATCAGGTATGAAACATTCTCTTATAACATCAAGACACAATACAGATTACTCTTTATTCTAAACCCATCATTGCACGCACCAGCTGAAGAATATATTTCTACTGATCCACATTTTGGCTTTATTGTGTGAGGGAGAGGGGTTTGGTGCAGCTTTGAACAGTAATTGAATATCTCCTTGGTTATTTAGGGATGAAAGCCTATAGTGATGCAGTCCCTAGACTATAGTGCTGTCCATCACTCGGTCTCAGCATGTATTGGTGTTGTTTTAAATAACATAAACATTTGTTAAATCAGCTATAAAATGTTTTTCTGTTTTTTCAAATGTATGCAATTTTACCTGAACTATAGATAATGTTTCGTGCAATTAAGTTGAACTATTTGGAATCACTTTCCTCAGTTAAATAATCTATGGAGTTACTTCCCCTAGTTAAACAATCTATGGAGTTACTTCCCCTAGTTAAGCAATCTCTGTTGAATCTTCTGGAGTTATTTCATTTAGTTCTGTAATTCTAGAGTTACTTCCCCTAGTTAAGTAATCTCTGATGAACTTTCTGGAAGGGAACATAAGATCGGATACAGCAACAAAACAACGAAAGGCTAATTACACAGAAGACTTACAATAAACAGGTTGAAGCAACGGACACACTCTCCTTATTTCATTGTTTACAGATTTAATACCAAATGACCAACAAATAAACATAGACAGACAAATATACATGTATTCTTAGTTTGTATCTAAAAACAATTTATTTCAAATTTACATTCTGATAAAATTGCTTGGGTTGGTTGATTTAGTGGGAACAAGTAAGGTTAAAATGTGCATTATGTGTACATGATGTTAAAAAAGTCAAATGTATTCACTTCTGTATGAGAACGTTTGTTTTTAATTTTAATTCATCAAGAGCATCATGGCGAATACAAATCGATTTATTTTTATCATCCTTATTTATTATTAACTTAGCTTCTGACTTTGGTCTATCAACCTGAAAATCAAGAAAAATAACAAAGTGTCACCTACATCATACTAAAATACTCTCTTAAAAGTTACAATGAATTGCATTGTTGTCATGTTATCACAATACTTGCACAATAAACATATTTTCCAGGCAATGCAGATACTATCACACTTGTCCTGAGATAAAACATTTCTAAGCAGGATATATACTTTTTTCTAAGCTAAGGTGGATATTTTTTGTTAACAAAAAAAGGGTGATTAATTGAGTGAGTGAGTGAGTGAGTTGGGTTTAACGCGGCTTTTAACATTGTTCCAGTTATATCACATGTCAGCTTAATGTGGGAGGAAAGCCTGAAGTGATGCAGGTCTCAGACGTTTACCACTTCGGTGAAACCCACGAGCACAGGTATGGTGCTGACAAACCTAGAAACATAATCAGGGCGAACCGGGATTCAAACCCACAATCATAGGTTTCTGGCGTGCCCAAGGGATGCAACTTTGCACAGCAAATCGAGTGATTAATTGACAAATTGGATAATCGCCAAGTCTATATTATCAAGTCTCATGTTGGACACTTAACAGAAGACCATTACACCACACTGTTTGTCATGACAAACAATAACAGTCCACATAAATTATCTTTGATACTTTCACTGCCATTTCATCCAGAATGTCCACAATGATGGTGAGGCTGGGATTTGGGGAGAGCAGGTCAGCGGTTGCATCCCTAAGCCTCGTCATACCAAAAGACATCAAAAGATAGTACTTGTTGTTACCTGCCTGGCATTCAGCATTTAGGGGCTAAAACCAGGACTGATAGCTCGGAATCAGTATACTGTGTCTGAGTCGAGTATTCATGCTAAACTGAGGCATGATACCTCAGTGGACTATCACTATAAGTCCAGACTAATACAAATAGCCACACACGCACAAAGTCAAACCCCATTTCACCTCCCTCCTCACTCAGTCTGATGAGATAAACGTTTGACTCTGAAATGGTCCTGGGCTACAACACTAGCAAGACCACGTTGTGTATTCCTGAAGATGCTAGGTAGAGATGGCACCAGGACAGACGAGGTCTGACAATAGTCATGAAACGTCAAATGATTATTTCCTTTCTACTTGTCTTATGATTACAGGTAGTTGTTTCAATATTTCTATTTCAATACTAAAATAATTAAGCAGATTCAGGGGGAGGAAACAAAATTACTCAAAATGATTCATTTTATTCCACATATGTGAAATTTTTAATTAGTGGATTCATAACCAATTAAATAAAAATAACGCTCAAACTCATAAATTTCATCTTCTTATATCTAGCTACTGTTAGGTTTGCATGTATTAATGTCAGATGATTTATCCACAATAATTATACACACGTTGTGACTCCCTGACAACTCACAAAAAATGCAGAAATGTCTTTAAGAAAAGAAATGTACAAACATGTGCTATCTGAATTTATCAGAGTATATGTTATATATTAACAGTTGCGTTGTGCAATATTTTCTAAAAGGCAACCAGGAATTAGACATTTGATCGTTTACATTTTAGTAATTGGCACTGACGTACCACTACAGACAACAGAAATCATGTCCAGTATATACAAATTATGGAGAGAATTTTTGGTACATAAATATACAAGCATAGCTCACAGTCGAACAGTATGAAATCTACCACACAAGTGTCAATCACCCAATCAGCTGATCACGATAATGAATGATGGATGAATGATGTACTCGTCACACAAACTGGTAGTTTTCTCGGGGGACATGGAGGGGCATGCGGCTGGAGAAGTCCGCTGCATCGCCAGTGTCGAACTTCTTGGTCCAGTCAATCCTACTAGGTCGCAGTAACCCACAGCAACGTACGTCCAGCACATCGGTCAAGTTCCTGACAATGCCACGGCTGAAACAATGAGCATAGGTTACAAAGATTCATTGTGGCTTAGATCATTTTGACACAAATGTTACTACAAATCCTTTATGCATGTTACTGCTCTGATCACACAAATGTTACTACAAATCCTTTATGCATGTTACTGCTCTGATCACACAAATGTAACTACAAATCCTTTATGCATGTTACTGCTCTGATCACACAAATGTAACTACAAATCCTTTATGCATGTTACTGCTCTGATCACACAAATGTTACTACAAATCCTTTATGCATGTTACTGCTCTGATCACACAAATGTTACTACAAATCCTTTATGCATGTTACTGCTCTGATCACACAAATGTTACTACAAATCCTTTATGCATGTTACTGCTCTGATCACACAAATGTAACTACAAATCCTTTATGCATGTTACTGCTCTGATCACACAAATGTAACTACAAATCCTTTATGCATGTTACTGCTCTGATCACACAAATGTAACTACAAATCCTTTATGCATGTTACTGCTCTGATCACACAAATGTAACTACAAATCCTTTATGCATGTTACTGCTCTGATCACACAAATGTAACTACAAATCCTTTATGCATGTTACTGCTCTGATCACACAAATGTAACTACAAATCCTTTATACATGTTAAGTGTCCAAGTGTGCTATACAAGATGGCAATGTCAGTGACAAATCTTTAAAACTAATTTCATTCACTTTTCAATGACTTGAAGACCTTGCGGAATCATTGACACCCTGACAAGTAAACTATCACAATATACTTAATTGCAGTCAAACATGCTTGTCTTAACTACTTTTCTTAACTCAATTGTGACCTTTTATACAAAATCCATTTGGTTTAAATGAAACTCAACAAAAATCAAGAGTACACTAACATGAACATCATCATTTGTCTTCAAAAACAATAAATAGTTTGGAAAATTATCCAAGGATAATTGAAATGAAACTAGGCAAAGGGAGATAACTGCACTATGACCCTCTATATGTATGACCATGTACTTAAAGCAACATGAAGATGAGCTTGTGATCAGGTGAGTGAATGTTAGTTAACGTCACAGTAAGTAAATACCGGTAATCTAGCAACATAATGTCGGCCTGTAAATGATTAATTCGGGACAAGGCAAACCAGTGTTGGAAAGCACAACCAATGATCCATGCCCTCGGGGCATGATCACAGATCAGCATACAACAGTGGGGGCACTAAAAATGCATGTAACAGTGGGGGCACTAACAATGCATGTAACAGTGGGGGCACTAACTAACAATGCATGTAATAGTAGGGGCACTAACAATGCATGTACCAGTGGGGGCACTAACAATGCATGTAACAGTGGGGGCACTAACTAACAATGCATGTAACAGTGGGGGCACTAACAATGCATGTACCAGTGGGGGCACTAACAATGCATGTAATAGTAGGGGCACTAACAATGCATGTAACAGTGGGGGCACTAACAATGCATGTAACAGTGGGGGCACTAACAATGCATGTAACAGTGGGGGCACTAACAATGCATGTAACAGTGGGGGCACTAACAATGCATGTAACAGTGGGGGCACTAACAATGCATGTAACAGTGGGGGCACTAACAATGCATGTAACAGTGGGGGCACTAACAATGCATGTAACAGTGGGGGCACTAACAATGCATGTAACAGTGGGGGCACTAACAATGCATGTAACAGTGGGGGCAGAAACAATGCATGTAACAGTGGGGGCACTAACAATGCATGTAACAGTGGGGGCACTAACAATGCATGTAACAGTGGGGGCACTAACAATGCATGTAATAGTAGGGGCACTAACAATGCATGTAACAGTGGGGGCAGAAACAATGCATGTAATAGTAGGGGCACTAACAATGCATGTAACAGAGGGGGCAGAAACAATGCATGTAATAGTAGGGGCACTAACAATGCATGTAACAGTGGGGGCACTAACAATGCATGTAACAGTGGGGGCACTAACAATGCATGTAACAGTGGGGGCACTAACAATGCATGTAACAGTGGGGGCACTAACAATGCATGTAATAGTAGGCGCACTAACAATGCATGTAACAGAGGGGGCAGAAACAATGCATGTATCAGTGGGGGCACTAACAATGCATGAAACAGCCGGGGGCACTAACAATGCATGTAACAGTGGGGGCACTATCCATGCATGTAACAGAGGGGACACTATCCATGCATGTAACAGAGGGTTCAGAAACAATGCATGTATCAGTGGGGGCACTAACAATGCATGTAACAGCGGGGGCACTAACAATGCATGTAACAGTGGGGGCACTATCCATGCATGTAACAGAGGGTTCAGAAACAATTCATGTATCAGTGGGGGCACTTACAATGCATGTAACAGTGGGGGCACTAACAATGCATGTAACAGAGGGGGCACTAACAATGCATGTAACAGTGGGGGCACTAACAATGCATGTAACAGTGGGGGCACTAACAATGCATGTAACAGAGGGGGCAGAAACAATGCATGTATCAGTGGGGGCACTAACAATGCATGTAACAGTGGGGGCACTAACAATGCATGTAACAGTGGGGGCACTAACAATGCATGTAACAGTGGGGGCACTATCCATGCATGTAACAGTGGGGGCACTAACAATGCATGTAACAGAGGGGGCAGAAACAATGCATGTATCAGTGGGGGCACTAACAATGCATGTAACAGAGGGTTCAGAAACAATTCATGTATCAGTGGGGGCACTAACAATGCATGTAACAGTTGGGGCACTAACAATGCATGTAACAGTGGGGGCACAAACAATGCATGTAATAGTAGGCGCACTAACAATGCATGTAACAGTTGGGGCACTAACAATGCATGTAATAGTAGGGGCACTAACAATGCATGTAACAGTGGGGGCACTAACAATGCATGTAACAGAGGGGGCAGAAACAATGCATGTATCAGTGGGGGCACTAACAATGCATGAAACAGCGGGGGCACTAACAATGCATGTAACAGTGGGGGCACTAACAATGCATACAATAGCAGGGGCAATGGCTTCACACATTGTCCTTGTGTGAGGTTTTGACACTAGTCTCAAGCCTCACAGAGCCTTGTTTAAATCGCAGTCCTGTGATTGTAGCTTTGTCACCGTACGGCATCAACTCAGGACAGTGATGAAACGAGGATTGACCGACTGCCCCACAGAAACAAGTGATTCAGTTTGGTCAATTCTCACTGTTTGATTTCATTGTCAGCATTTTCCATATTTTTGTTAAAGAAAAAGGCCAGAGGTAAAATGAGTACCCTGTATGTGATACGGCCTAACAGTGAATAAGTTGGATTTTATGCCACTTTCAAATTATTCCAGCAATATCTAGTGTGGGACACCAAAAATCAGCTTCACCCAAAGTGTTATCGAACCCAGCACTGTGACATGACAAGCAACTGTTCTCGTAGCATTACTGCATGTCAATTAGTCCAAATAGCCCAGTCCACAAAGCGATCTTAGCGCTACGACTGCTGTAAGTATATGTTAGAGTATGGGAATTATCATCGTCTCAGCGCTAAGATTGCTTTGTGGAATGGGGACCTTCTCAGGAGTACTTACTGGAATGGACTAACAATCTTTGGGGGTTGAGTGTCTTCTGGCCCTGGCCCTCCATGACTGTGACCATGACCTTGACCTGCACCATGACTGTGACCATGACCTTGATCTTGACCATGACTGTGACCATGTCGTTCATTCGCATATTTATGAAAGTGGGTATAACGTCCCTGGTTGAGACGTTCATTTGATGTCATGCCGAGCCACATGATCTGAAAGCAGCAAACATGGTCAGGTTTGGTTGGTTGGTTGGTTGGTTGGTTGGTTGTTAAACGCCGCACTCAGCAATATTCCAGCTATATGACGGCGGTCTGTAAATAATCGAGTCTGGACCAGACAATCCAGTGATTAATATCATGAGCATCGATCCACGCAATTGGGATCGATGACATGCATCAACCAAGTCAGCAAGCCTGACCACCCGATCCCGTTAGTCGCCTTTTACAGCAAGTATGGGTTGCTGAAGACCTATTCTAGAGTACACTATCATGAACATCATCATTTGTCTTCAAAAACAATAAATAGTTTGGAAATTTATCCAAGGATAATTGAAATGACACTAAGCAAAGGGAGACAACTGCACTATGACCTTCACATAAAATATATGTATCACCATAATTGGGATCGATGACATGCATCAACCAAGTCAGCGAGCCTGACCACCTGATTCCGTTAGTCGCCTTTTACGACAAGCACAGTCGCCTTTTACAGCAAGCATGGGTTGCTGAAGACCTATTCTACCCCGGATCTTCACGGGTCACATGGTCAGGACACTGGCATTTCCTTTTCGATATATTCAGGTCACAATATCTAAGATTTTAGTAAGGGACCGCTCATTATTACAGGCAGCGGGTGGGTCAGAGGTTTTTCATGCACCAATGTACTGAAAATAAAGACCCTCCACTGATGTTCGTCATATTTTTGGATGACCCTCCCCATGTCCTTGTACATTTTAAGCATGACCCTCCCCAAAAAGACAAAATGTAAAAAAAAATGTATATTTTCTTATAAAATGAACATTTATTCATGACCCTCCCCAAGCATATGTAGTATTTTTATGACCCTCCAGTAGGGACTATCATATTTTTGGGTGGCCCTCCCATGATACCCACTGACCCAGTCCACCCTACAATAAATGACCCTCCCCTAACATTATGAGGAATTAAGGTAACATAGTTGTATAACAGGATGTAAAAATGTTGGTTCAGAGTGTCTTCAAAGTTCATAAAACTTTCATTTGTTTAATGCATCTCACAGCAATATTCAAGCCATATGATGGCGGCCTGTAAATAAAGTCTGGTCAATTCAGTGATTGATATAAGAAACAATCCACGTTGTCGGTGAACAATGACACCAGCAACCAAGTCACCCACCACCATACACAAAGTCACTGTTATCGACCAGCATCAGTTGCTATAAAACTACTCCGATCAGAAATCTCCATGGGCTACTTTCTTGTTGAGACGTATCAAAATTCTAGCATCAGAAGATTTTTCATGTGACCAACCTGATACAGCTGACACACGAACAGACAGGTGACCCAGAATATATGACCAAATGCATTGATGGCAATCCAGCCCACCCACGGAGACTTCTTGAAGATCTTGTAAACGATGCCAGTGATACCATCTTCATAGATATCAAATGGGCACTCATTTCTCCAGTCTGTAACAAATAACATTTCTCACAGCATGAAGGAGAGGTGAAATGGGGTTTAAAGTTGCGACAAGATCATAGTGCAAAGTTATTCACATCTGTGTGTGGCTGCTTGTACTGGTCTGGACTTATGCTGGTGTCATAGTGCTAGCCCACTGAGATAGGCTGTGGGCCCAAGTGGTATGGTATGGTATTCCACTGTATTTCAAGAGAATCTTTCTCGAGAACTCCATCTGTCCATGGAGGCAGACATATTGGAATCTCATGGAATGAAACAAGCGCTGTGATAGGTCAGCATTTGTTTCAAGGAATTTCATTGGAAGAGGTTGGAATTTCAAAAGGGTAAATTCAAGTGGAATCTATATAACTTTGTCAGCTCAAAAACTGCAAGTTAATCTGCAAATGTTGAGTAGGGAACAATTCGTCTTTGGTTCAACATTATTTCAACAAAAGTTTCATGCAGAAAGTTTGTGGTTCCATGAATTGTCAAACGAAAAAGTCATGATTTTAGGACCCTGGCCCATAGCCTAAGATACCATGCCACAGTTTAATATGGGATACCCTACTCAGACACAGTTTATTGACTCGGTTGAGTGAGTGAGTGAGTATGGTTTTACGCCGCTTTTAGCAATATTCCAGCAATATCACGGCAGGGGACACCATTAATGGGCTTCACACATTGTACCCATGTCAGGAATTGAACCCGGGTCTTCAGCGTGATTGACTCGGTTGAATGTTGAATTTACAGACAAGTAGCACATCTGACTTTTGAACACTTTCATAATTTAAACAAACTACTGCAATATCACATATATACAGATGTGGGGGCAAAACATTAAAAGTCCAATTTTACAAATTTTACAAACCACAATCTCCACAAACAGGCTTCCTTATGAGGACTAGCAAAAATATGTTTTTTAGGCTTATCAACTATCAATAACAAAACTTGAGTATTGTACATGTTGTAAAGCAATGTGGAAGCTGTCAAAGAGCATCAAACTAAATGGGGGCCAAATTGAAACATAAAAGTTCAAAAAGTATATATGAGAGCAGTAGTTGTATTTCTAGGAGGCTGTAACGTACTACTCACAGAGGAAGATGCCATGGAGGCACCAGACCAGCATGCCCATCAGGAAGAAGAGGAAGCCCAGGAAGTACTTGTGGTTGTACGCACCTGGAGAAGAACACATCTGATATATACGAAGGAAGCACATGTAATATGGTCACAAATGAAGGTCATTTCAAGGTCATTTCAAGGTCAGTATGTGCAAGAGTTTTCACTCCTATCTGTTTTAATGGACTCAACTTTACTTATATCTTTTTGTTGTTTTCTTGTCATCTCCACTGATGACATAGCACGTCTTTAATTAGTCACATGGTATATCGTGAATAAAGGTTTTTTGTTTGTTTGTTTGTTGTTTCACACCGCACTCAGCAATATTCCAGCTATATGACGATGGTCTGTAAATAATCGAGTCTGGACCAGACAATGCAGTAATGGATATTGTGAGCTTTAATCTATGAAGTCGGTGAACACTTATCTGCATTCACTCACTGAGCCTGACCACACAATCCACTTGGTCTGCTCAAAGACGGCCATTTTCCTCCCTGTCACTACTCAAACCAAAGGACAGTAACTCTAATCCCTGATAACCAGCCACACAGGCAGGTTCAAAATTCGTATAATATAAGTATTGTTTACAACTTATTGCAACTAATAAAACTATCAATTATTATGCATACTATCAGCGATACAACTGGTATTTCTAAATTCCTATCAATATCATACTATCGTAGGGCAAACAATTGCAATAATTTGATAGTTCGATATTTCATCACACTCCTTTAGACTGGCAAATATTTTAGTTGTCATACCAACACAATTGTCAACCCAGGGACAGTGATGATCAAACTTGGCTACACAGCGATCGCAGATGGAGCAATGCTTCGATCTGATTGGTCGACGTATCAAGCATGTGCTGCAGAACTGGGCCAAGGTCAAGGTCTGTGTTTCAGCTAGGTCAAGTATAGTCTGGAAACAAGGACATCATTAGCTCATCAAAGAAGCAGATGCATAACAAGGCTTTAATCAATAATATTCCGGACAGTTATCTCATTGTCACTATGGCAATGACTGGTACCCATGGTAACATACAGCCGAGTTTGCAAAGCATTAAAAAGATTGTATTTTGTGATTGTATTTGGTCAGTAGTAATGGTTCAATTCCATTGTCATATAACTACAACTGACGCTTCTTCATGTTGACTTATGTAACTATGGTAACCGTGGTGCTAAAACCATTTTGGTAGTATTACAAGGGTGGGGATCTTGGATGATATCAGAGTTCTGTGAGTGAGCAGTTTGGGCTTCGATGTTGCCTTTGCAGTATTTCAGCAACATAAGCAGATCAGAGTCCTCGTTCTGATGACCGCCTCCGTGGTCTAGTGGAACAGATCCGCCGGAAGGTCCAGGGTTTGATCCCCGGCTACATCATACCAAAAGACGTTAAAAGATGGTACTTGTTGTTACCCTGTCTGGCTCTAGGCATTCAGAGGCTAAAACAAGGACTGGTCAGCTTGGAGTCAGTATACAGTGTCTGAGTGGGGTATTCATGTTAAACTGCGGCATGGTATCTCAGTTGGCTAGCACTATAAATCGACATCTGTCTGCACTAGTTCAAGCAGCCTCACACACACACTTGCATGCTCGTTGCTATATAAGTGTAATAATCATGGATTCAATGTTAAACCCCGTTTCACCTCAACTCATAGTCCTGACAACATTAGCAGAGAGTCTGAAGCTATGCAGGACATAGAGGTTTACCACTCCCAAAAGCCTCTGAGCACATCAATCTTCTTATCTGGTATCGAAATCCAAATCAGTGTACAAGATCCAAGCTCCTTACCACCGCAGACACCTTCGTTACACTCCCCGTACCATCGCTGCCACCAGTTTGGACACGGACAGTACAAAGAATCTTGAAATTTGCCCTCTAGCCCCAAATGTAGTGACACATATATATTTTTGTGTATGTTGTTGATAATGCCATCAAAGCGAAAATTTTCGACTTAATTTACATTTTGTTTATTTGATCAGATTGGTTCGAGATTGTAGACTTCCCCTTTACAGTCTTGCTATACAAATTACATTATGCACACCTTAATCTTCTCTTCCCTTGTACTCTTGAGGTAGCCAGGGTCAGTCCGCCATGCTTTCCAGAAATTGTAAGTCAGCAGTAATGTGTTGGCAGTAAATGCAACAGTCTTCCAAGTCTCACCCACATCTTAGACCGATAAGGACTTTCATCTGTTCCACAGAAATGGCTAAGCTATTCCAAAGCCTTCAGTTTCTCAGTTTGTGTTTCTCAGTGAGGGCTGTATAATCACGCCTGAACTTGCCTAACTAAACAGCATGATGCCCAACACTTACACCACTCACTGCATCACATCTTTCCGAGGCACTGGCCTTAACTGACTTTCAAAGTCTAGTTTCCACCCTTGATATACTAGGCTGGAATTTCCAGGATCAATCATAGCGACACCAGTGGCTATTACAAGTAATGTCCCTTGTCATGCATTTGCTTCAAACACAATGGTGGCACCCGGTCTGATTGATAATCACGATCTCTTTTGAAATAAAACGGGTCTTACCCAGCAAAGTGCATCAAATCACTTGAGCACCTTGATTAAAAACATGAAACAATTTGCAAAATATCTGTTGACACCCAGCTGGCAGTACATATGTTTGCAAATCCTGCAGTCGACCAAAATCTGCACGTTGAAATTCATGTTTTCTACAAACCGGAAGTCTAGTTCGTTACACGATTTTGATTGGACTATGCATATGCTCATTAGTCCAACCAAAATGTACGTCTAGAATTCCAACCTAGTTCAGCAAGGGTGGAAATTGTACTGTTATAGTCAGTTAATTCCCTTGCCTCAGGAAGATGGCCATATGAGGGAGTGAGTTGGATATAGTGCAGCTGTTTGGCCCAAAAACAACATTATGTCTGTTTCCTATCACATCAATTTTACAACAGGGGTAGCTTGGTAGGCTTTTTTTCTCCTTTGTTTTTGAGAAGAATTGTATCTGATCATGGAACTTTGGATGCTGAATGTCAAATTTGCGATGAAAAAACATCACTGGACATGATGATTTACCATTTAAATAAATTGCATTTTCTATTCTACCATGAATTTCGAATTTACTCGATTCTGATTGGTCAATCAGAGGCTATTAAATCACAATAAACCCCCTCTGATTGAAACAGCTGGTTTGACGGCTGCATCACCGCGGAAGCTAATATTCATAGAATAGTACTATTTTCAGTCATTGTCGGTAGGCATATTTAAATAACTATATCTACAATTACAGGTTACAAAATGCACAGATGCTGTTACTACAACATTCAAAGGATGTGTGGCAATACATTTCGTGTAGAAAAACACGACAGAAATCAACAAAGGGAATGTATTTACGTTTTGGAGACAACAGAGAGCTTGAAATTTTGGCGCTTTTCTATATACGACTGTGGCGTCATATATTTTGCGTCACAATGAGCGATATGACGTCATAATGGTGACGTGAGATGTAGTTTTCTTTACGGATGCCCACCTCATGTTAGCTTACCAAGTTGCCGTGCTTATATGCTTTCAATGCCTGTCATATGTTCGAGTGAAGTATTACGGAGTAAACAAACTGCTTGAGTATATACAGCACCATATTTTGTTCGGTGATTCCGTAATTCAGATCGATAACCCACTTAAAACACTGAACTCAACCCATGCCGCTTCACTCAGTATATTTGCTAACACCAAAGAGTTCGCGTTTTATTTAGTCATGGTAGAATGGAGATAAACATACTATGTTTTCAATGTAGAGCTAGGTTACCTGTAGATTTAACCGCGCTAAATTTAACATTTGAAACCTCACGCTGCGCGTTCGGTTCCAAATTCAATTTAGAGGGGTTAAATCTACAGGTAACCTAGCTCTACATTGAAAACACAGTATGTTTATCTCCTAATTCTATTAAGCATTTTTTCTATTCAGAGATTAAGATAACCATGTGTATTTGTCTCGTAAACTAAGCCAGAAATAGCAATCAGCTGTACACACACTTTCTCCCGATTTTTTAATGATTTAGGTATAAAATATCCAATAAAATGTAACCAAACAGAATTTTGATGTAATGATTGGAAGACTTTGTATCAGAAACCATTATTTCACCAGGTAGAATATACTCCAAAATCACGTTATAGCAGCTTTACAAAATATATCAAAGAATAATAATGTTGAGGTAATGACCAAAAATGGGCTCGGTCGGGTAACTAAAAACAAACATTCATATTTTTTTGGCCAAAGTTAAATCTCCGGCCAACCCATTCCCCGCTAGGCCTCCCCTGCACAGGTAGCACAGACAGCACAGTGTCAAGGATACAGGGGTAGAGGTAGGCGAACCAAGTATAGTACATCCAGAACTTGGTTGCCAGGTAGATCGACACTGGCATCAGCTGGGTCACATTTTCATCAAAAAAGAATCTGCATAAGAAAAGAATCTGTTTCAGAAACAGTTTCATGCAATACAGCTAATTTCATTTAACACAACACTTCTATCATGTTCCAACGCTATTATTTGTATTAATTACATCGGGTCAAAACAAATGTATTCAGAGTAGTTTAACTTAGGTTTACTGTATTTGACATAATAAGCGCCCAGTGCGCTCTCAAAATTAGAAATAGGGGGCTCTTATCAGAATATTATTTTGGTGAAAAACAACAGAGTTGAAAGATCGTAAATTTCGTGGTTTGTGCTGACAGCCTGAAATGTTTATATACGACAGATATATTTTTCCAGAATTTAATTTCCCATAATTAAGAATGCATATAACACACGTATTATACACAAATAGATAAGTCTTGTGTACATTGATCAATCGAAAGGGGTGCTAATAGCGATTGTTCACTAGCCAATATGTTAACAAATATCGTCGTGGGCGCTTATTAGAGCGGGGGGCTTATTACATCAAAGACGGTAATCATGTTAATGATATGTCCAGCAAATGGATGAGAGTCTATTTTAATTGACTTTAAACACTGCTTTTAAAAGTGTTTCATTCATATCGTGCCATATCAGTTTTGTTTTGTTTTTTTTGTGTTTATTTAATGCCGCACTCAGCAATATTCCAGCTATATGATGGCGGTCTGAGAATAAATCGGGCAAGGACCAGACAATCCAGTGATTGACATCATGAGCATCGATCTTCACAATTGGGATACGATGACATGTATCAACCAAGTCAGCGAGCCAGACCACCTGATCAAGTTTGTCGCCTCTTACGACAAGCGTAGTCGCTTCAATGTGGAAGGAAAACACAAAGTTACGTAGGTTGTAGATGTTTACCACTTAGGTGAGGTGAAACGGGGTTTAACGTCGCGTCCAAGATTATTTCACTTATATAGCGACGTGCATGCACGCGAGTGTGTGTGTGTGTGTGTGTGTGTGTGTGTGTGTGTGTGTGTGTGTGTGTGTGTGTGTGTGTGTGTGTGTGTGTGTGTGTGTGTGTGTGTGTGTGTGTGTGTGTGTGTGTGTGTGTGTGTGGCTGCTTGTACTAGTCCGGACTGATGCCGATTTATAGTGCTAGCTCACTGAGATACCATGCCGCAGTTTAACATGAATACCCCACTCAGACACTGTATACTGACTCCGAGCCGACCAGTTCTTGTTTTAGCCCCTTAATGCCGAGCGCAAGACAGGGTAACAACAAGTACCATCTTTTAACGTCTTTTGGTATGACGCGGTCGGGGATCCAACCCTGGACCTTCCGCTCTCCGGGAGGACGCTCTACCACTAGACCACGGAGGCGGTCTTACCACTTAGGTAAAACATACAGTGGAGAGTATGGTGCTGATAGTCCATGCATCATTATCAGGTGAGCTATGGAACATAAGCCAGAACCAGCAGATCCTGGCAGCTAATGAATGCACCTCTACATAGCGAATTGAGGACCCTCAAACATGATTAAGACCATTGTTAGACCAATTAGTGACCAAGCTGAGTGTTTTGGCAGTTTAGAAGAGAATTCATTGAAAGGTGCATGATTGAACATCTGGAAAATATCAATCAAACCTCAAGTCAATCATGTATGTTTGTTTGTTGTTTGTTGTTTAACGCCGCACTCAGCAATATTCCAGCTATATGATGGCGTTCTGTAAATAATCGAGTCTGGACCAGACAATCCAGTGATTGAAATTATGAGAATCGATCCACACAATTGGGATATGATGACAAGTCAGCAAGCCTGACCACCTGATCCTGTTTGTCGCCTGTTACGATAAGCATAGTCGCCGTTTACGGCAAGCATGGGTTGCTGAAGACCTATTCTACCCTGGATCTTCACTTGTCAAGTCAATCACGTGGGATGATCAATCAGACTGCTTTCTTACATTGTTGACAGTTTCCACACTCCGAACGTGATGAGGTAGAAACCCAGTTTCTCGACCCAGGTCAAGGGCGTTTCCGGGATGTAGCCAATCACAAACAGGGCAATGAAGGGGAAGCAATACGCAAAATACTTCCGTACTGTCTGAAAACAAAACCAAACATACACTTTGTAATGATCACATAAACAAGTCAGTGTGTGACCATATTTTGGCTAAGTCACTTAACCATGGTAACCAAGGTCACAATGACAAGGACACAACAGTAACTGGCAAATATAGAGTTAATAATACAGTTTCAGATCATGTTTGTTTGTTTGTTGTTTAACGCCGCACTCAGCAATATTCCAGCTATATGACGGCGGTCTGTAAATAATCGAGTCTAGACCAGACAATCCAGTGATTGACATCATGAGCATCGATCCAGCCAATTGGGATCGATGTCATGCATCAACCAAGTCAGCGAGCCTGACCACCTGATCCTGTTAGTCGCCTCTTACGACAAGCATAGAAGATCATGTAAATATTCGCGTCTGGACCACACTACCCAGTGGTTGACATCATGAGCATCAATCAACACAATTGGGATACAATGACATGCATCAACCAAGTCAGTGAGCTTTTTACGGCAAGCATGGGTAGCTGAAGACCTATTCTACCCTAGATCTTCACGGGTCTGCTCCCTGCTGTGCCAGAAGGATTTATCACAACGTTCTCAGGATTATTTGACCGTAGGACTACAGCAATATGTCTACAAAAATTCCTGAATTAAAATTATAACATCCAATTCCGTTTTGCTAATATTTTAGCATTACCAATGACAAAGGATGCATGTATTTCACTGAAACACAACAAATAAAGAGAAAAATATTTAATAATTAGCATTACATTAATGCAAAAATGCAATGTGAAACATATTATTAACCTCTGAAATTTACATACAAATATGGACGTAAATTTTGCACATAACATTCAGCTTTTTCCTAATTTGTATACCAGGGGGTTAAAATCAACGATAATTCCTTGTCTGACGCTAATTTGTATTTACCTTGTCCGTGGTGTAGGACTGGAAAACGTGGGACCGATCCAGGCCCTTCTCATACCTAGCTTGACGCAGCCTTTTTACCAGACCTATGTTCTTGGTTGCCACAGCAACCTCAGCGGGCGTCTGGGCCTAGAACACCATGAGCCAGTATGTAGACACCACCGCCGTATCACACATCCTCATCAACATGGCTAAAGAACAGGGGTGTGTTTTCCAACATGGAACAAATAACCGAGGGTTGCCAGATGCAAGATATTGATTTCTATTTACTGACCAATCGTGACTGGATGCAAATATATTACATTGCAAATCCTGGGGAGCGTAAAAATATTTTGGTGGTTTGAATAGATAAACAGCATCAAAATTGTTGTTTGCACGTAAATGATATTTCTTTTCGGGTAAAAAATACATTCAAACACAACAATCTGCGGTTGATTTTCATGAAAATCCTCATCTATTAACATGATAAAATAATAGAGAAGACACAATTTATGGATAACAACTTCCTTATTTACTGTATAGGCGATGTTTCAGCATAGATCCTTATACCGTTGTCAAGCTGGCAGCCTAGCTTGAGAGTGGTATAAGGATCTATGCTGAAATGTCATCTGTTCTTCCAAATTCTTGAATGTGAGGTGAAATGTCTCTGAATGTGTCTGTATGTGTGTGTCTGTATGTTTTTGATTGTCTGTGTGTGTCTGTATGTGTGTCTGTATGTGTGTGTCTGTATGTGTGTCTGTATGTGTGTGTCTGTATGTGTGTCTGTGTGTGTCTATGTGTGTATGTGTTTGTCTGTGTGTGTCTGAATGTGTGTCTGTGTCTGTATGTGTGTCTGTATGTGTGTCTGTGTGTGTCTATGTGTGTGTATGTGTTTGTCTGTGTGTGTCTGTATGCGTGTCTGTGTCTGTATGTGTGTGTCTGTGTGTGTCTGTCTGTGTGTGTCTCTGTGTCTGTGTGTGTCTGTCTGTGTGTGTCTCTTTGTGTCTGCGTGTGTCTCTTTGTGTCTGTGTGTGTCTCTTTGTGTCTGTGTGTGTATGCCATTGGGTGTACAAGACCACTTGAGGTGGGTGGGTGGGTGGGTGGGTGGGTGGGTGAGTGAGTGAGTGAGTGAGTGAGTGAGTGAGTGAGTGAGTGAGTGAGTGAGTGAGTGAGTGGGTGGGTGGGTGGGTGGGTTAGTGAGTGAGTGAGTGAGTGAGTGAGTGAGTGAGTGAGTGAGCGAGCGAGCGAGCGAGTTGGGTTTAATGCCGCTTTTAACAGTATTCCAGTTATATCGCGGCATGTCTGCTTAATATGGGAGCAAAGCCTGAAGTGATGCAGGTCTGAGACGTTTACCACTTTGAGCAAAGGGGATGGTGCTGACAAACCTAGAAACATAATCGGGGTGAACCGGGATTCGAACCCACAATGATAGGTTTCTGGCGTGCCCAAGGGACGCAACTCTGCACAGCGAATCGCAGCACCTTAGACGACTGGGCCACCCGTGCCCCCTTATTCGTGACCAACCAGGATTCAAACCCACAATCACAGATCTCTGGCGTGCCCAAGGGATGCAACTCTGCACAGCGAATTGCGAAGCCTTAAGCTGGACAACCCATGGCCCCACCGAGTGTAACAAATGCCAGTGTCATGCATCACACTATTGTAGTAATGAGTAGCAATACACTGTTCCTAAACATGCAAATACCTTGGCGTTTTCAATATTGAGATCAGCTCCTGCATTGAGCAGCATCTTGATGACGAGGTGGTTGCCTGTCTGTGATGCCCAGTGTATGGGGGTGTTGCCCTGGTATTTGTCAGCCTTGTTCACAGATGCTCCGAATGTCAGCAGCAGTCGCACAGGATCATACCTACTGACATACCCAGATGAAGATTAACACTGTTTTGAACAGTATTTCAGACACATCATCACAAAAGCAGGGATTATCTAGACCAGGCCAATATTCGACCCCAAGTCTGCAGCAAATATTATTATTTTTTCCCAAATTGAATCAAAAGGACCTGTTTTATTACAATATAGCTCCTGATTATCAACCAGATCTTCCTGACTCAACATGAGAGGTTGAATATGATTGGTCAACAGGAGGGACATAGAAGGGACAGAACTCCTAATAGCATCTTCCCAAGACAAGGGAGTTAACTGACTTTACAAGTCCAGTTTCCACTCTTGCCAAACTAGGCAGAAATTATGGAGTTACATTTTGGCTGGACTAACAAGTCTATGCATAGTCCAATCAAAATCGAAATAGACATTGGCAACATGGCAACTGCCGTGCAGATTTCGATCGATATCAGGATTTGCAGAGCATATGTACTGTCAGCTGGGCGTTGACAGATGTGTTTCAAAAGTTTTCATGGTTTTAACCTAAGAGCTCAAGTGATTTGATGTACTTTGCGAGGTAAGACACATTTTAGTACAATTAAGATCTTGATTTACTATCATTTTGTTTGAAGAAAATGCAAGTGAAAGGATAGGTGGAATCTGATTGGTCAAAAGGAGGGACATAGAAGGGACAAAACTGGTAAAGGTCACTGGCGGCACTACAATCTAGCCACGAAATTCCAGCCAAGTTCGGCAAGGGTGGAAACTGGACTCTTATAGTCAGTTAACTCCTAATAGCCACTAGTGGCACTACGATTGAGCCACGAAATTCCAGCCTAGTTGGGCTAGGTGGAAAATGAACTTTATTAGTAGGTTAAATCCCTTGACCTCGGGAAGATGAGGTTTATATTATTGCATTGAATTCAATCTCAATATACAATGTAAATATACCTCTGAATTTTAAAAAAAAGAGAACAAAAATGTATGTTTTAAAGTAAAAAATATCACTTTTACTTAACCTGACTAATTGCTTGTCTCATCCCCATTTCCCAGCCAGGAGACTCCTCACTCGCTCATTTCACTTACTTACTTTATACTAAGATTCAAAAGATAACATCCTGGCATGTTTAAAATAGCTATCAAATAGTACTGCTATATATCCCAGGGCCAACTTGTTTTACATTTTACCCCCATCCTCCAAAACAAGATGCATGAGTTTCCCTACTACATACAGACTTCTGGGATAAGTAGAGGGTAATTCAATTTTTTTATCATGATAGACTGGCCTGTTCTCAGATATTAATTGTTTTAAAAGCATTAGGACCAATCAGAACTCTCAAACAGGACAAACTGGACCTACAGAAAGTTTGTTTGTTGTTAAACATCAAACCCAAAAATATCCCAGCTATATGACAGTGAATAAACAAGTTTCAGCCAGACAATCCAGAGATTGATATTATGAGCAACAATCACGCAATTAACCAAGTCAAAGAGCCTAAATCCCTGATCCATTATGTCACCTCCTATGACCAGTATCGGCTGCTAGGGACCATTTCTAACCCAGCATCCAAACAGGGAAATTACTGAAAGGCTGCTGCAAGCAAATACTGACCCAAACACCCTGTACGAGGCCCACATTAGAGCTGTCATGCCGTTTCTGTCCACCATGTCCACATCTTGACCCTTAGCAATAAAGTAGGCCACAATGGCTGTGTGACCGAACTGGGCGGCAAGATGGACACAGCTGCAGCCTGTAAGCAGAGTTCAGGAATAAGCCACACAGAGATTTACCAGACACAAAATTCAGCAACCTGTTGACATTAAAATTAAAACTGCATCCACTGTGATGCAGAAAGCAATTATGCCTGTTTAGGAATGGATGCTGCCATTTAATAATTCTTACACTCACAATTACAATCAACCATTTTTAAAAACAAAATACACAGTCGAATGCTTTACCATCTTCTAGCGCCAGCACTTGTAGACTTGTGGAGCTCTAAATCTATTTTAACTAACTAAAAAATCTGATTTCTTTGAGGGTGCCTAAGCACCATAAGCGGCAACATCCCACCTTCTCCGTCTCTCAGTGAGGGATCAGCACCATACGCCATCAGCTGTACAACCATAGACAGGTGGCCTTGTCTGAAATAGTCATCAACCATCATAGCATCTGCAGTGAGAGAGAGTGAATGTTTTTTCATGCAAAGTCAGCAATATTGCAGCTATAACATCACGATCGGGACATACTCGACTGAGCCAGACGAATTTGAACATGTACATGAAGCACATTGACTTGAGATGACACTCACACACTTCATGCATCTCCACAAAAGTCCCCAGGCGTATGACCACGTTAGCCTATAGTATCCCATTTTAGTCAGCTATTGCTGCAAACATGTAGGTCGAAAATCCCTCTGGGGACGGACATATGTTAGCCTATCATTTCCAATTTTTGTCATCTATTGCAACACATAGTCATTACTCTTGTGTAAAACACAAAAACATTGATCAAAACATAGTCACCTACTAATCATGCTAATAGTACTACCATGATGATAAAGAGGTCTTCATTAAGAAGCACAGTCAAGTTCTGTTAATCCGACATGGTTGGTTGCATATGACCATGTCGGATTAACAAGTGTGTCGGATAAACGAAATTAAGTAGTATCAACGTTCGTAAACCAAAAATCAGACAACTACACGACAAATAACAATACAAACACGTTGTAATAAATAAAAATGAAAAATGAAATATTTATACTGTCATGTTACATTGTTAGCGGAATATGTTTTCTAGTCATGCAACCTCTAAAGCATAACACAAAACAACTGTAACAGACTGTATGGCTGATTCAAAATACTTGAAAAAGCATAGTCTTGAATGAACATGATGAAAGTCGCCAGTTTGAAACTGGTACCGCAAAGCTCAAGAAAGTTGCTCTTCTTAGTGGCTAATGTCGACTACCTATTAGCCATTTCATTGGTCGGTCATAGTTCGCGAAAGGTCGTTCTGGCGTGACCTGTAAAGGGATGTCCTCAGCGGTGGCCAGAACTTGCATCTGATTTTAATGAGATTAGAGTAATGTAAGCATGTAATTAATTCTGTTTTGTTCATTTAAAGCATAAATTGTTTATTGTCCAGCAAGTTTTTCTTTGCAGCCGTTGTAATATGCAGCTCCCAGCCAACTCGCCTCGCACTGAAACACAGGCTGTGTACTCACAGGAAGATGACAAGGGAGTACACTGATCACTGTCTCGGATTAATGAGACTAATGAGTGATTTCTGCAATTCGTTGCAATTAAGGTGCGTCAGAGTCGCAGTGTGAGACTGTCGGATTAACGGGTCTAAATAGCACTGATTTAATCAGTTCCCATCATTAGTGTTAGATAAAGCTGATTGTCGGATTAATGAGTGTCGGATTTACGAGGCTTGACTGTATATTCAAACAATGATTATTATCATTAGTACATCCTCACTGTTACCTTGTTGCCCAGTGCAGAGGGGTGGAATTGAGGTCCCCGCCAAACTTGTCCACAACTGCACCCTTGGATGTGAAATACCTGATAAAACAAACATACAAACATGTCAGCTTACAATTCCAAATACAAGTGGTCACAAAGTGACCCACAAGTAAACATGATAAAAAACAAATCGTAAATATGGTAAATATTCACTCTTCAAATGACAAAAGGACAAATCTTAGGGTTAGCTATCGACATAGATCATAGATACTTGTATTTCAAGCCACCGGTGAGCAGTGACACATTTATACATGGATTAGTTTGTGGACATTTGACATTTAGCAATATTCCAGCAATATCACACCAGAAATGGGCTTCACACATTATGCCCATGTCGGGATTCGAACCCGGGTCTTCGGCGTGACGAGCGAACGCTTTAACCACTAGGCTACCCGACCGCCCCTGTGGACATTTGAGATGTAACAAAACAGTTGTTTTCCAACATTACTGCCAATAATACACCTGTTTTGGTAAATCTAAACTCTTATTTCATCACAATAGTTTAGTTACTATTGTAAGTTATTATCGATGACAACAATTTCATACTGATAATCATTAAGTTTCCTTCCAATCGACAATAATTTCGATAATCGATCTTTTTAGCCAGGCCTAACAAATTGACACCAAATTAGTCCACTGGTAAACATAATATAATTCTGATTCCATGATTTTTAATAAGTTTATAACTTTAATAATAGGAGATTATTAGTGAGTGAGTATGGTTTTACGCCGCTTTTAGCAATATTCCAGCAATATCACGGCAGGGGGGGGGGGGGGGGGGGCACCAGAAATGGGCTTCACACATTGTACCCATGTCGGGAATTGAACCCGGGTCTTCGGCGTGACGAGCGAACGCTTTAACCACTAGGACCGCCCCAGGAGATTATTAGCAGAGTGTGTTTCTGCATAGATCTTGCATAATTCAATGTCTATCAATAATATATGATATTTACACTATGGAAACATGCGGGAGTAATAACCTCTTTATCATAGTCAATGTTTGTGTGTCAGACACTACACAACAGATAAATCCTTGAGCTTGTTGAGCATGTTGGAGAGTAATGATACAGAACTTTAATCTATGGACGCCTTAAACTTTGTTTTTCTCAATGTTTTCACAGTATTGAGAACAAGCCATAATTCTGTAGTCATTAATAAGTGTTCTGCCAAGAAACTGAACAAGTCGGGTCAGGGACCCTACTAGAGCTGGAATGGGTAGCTCGGGTACTCGGGTCGGGTGGGTCCTGCGTAGGCCCCGGGTACCCACAGGACTACCCAGACCCATGGTTAGTCACGTGATATATTGTTTCATGACAAAAATTCACTATATAACTACATGGTTACATAGCAATTTTGAGTCTCTACTGTTCGCATTTCTTTATGACTATGAACATGTGCATACATAAGTCACACCCACTCATGAATATTGTAGACTTAAGACAATTGTAGGTTTAAGGGCACAACACACGTTCCTTCTGACTTTTATTTGTTTAAACAAAGCTTAAACTTCAGTCAACTTCAGTGACTGCATGGCCACATCGTTTAATACCTGTATATAAATACATTTTGCCAGGGCTACTGTCAAACTATTCCCAATCGGATATTTTGTACCTATCTCTTGACACCAACAGCGGGTACCCGGGTAGGGTTGGGGATAACATAAACCCCACGGTTAGAGGTTAATGATGCAGAATCGCTGTCCACAAGTAACATTAGCAATACACAGAATGTTCCCACATGGCATCTTTCTCAGATGTTACGTATTGCATGAACAATGTTCAATATCATGTATTTATCTCCAACAGTCTGTTTGTGATCACTGCCATCAGCATGTCTCTTCAAGGTACTCGTTCTAAAATTAGAATGTAGCCTTGTCATTGAATTAGATTTCTTCATTGTTGTATTTCTTATGCTGCAACTATGTGAAATAACGAAGCCATGTTCGCTAAAATATTTCTACCTTTTTCAGTTTTTCTACCTATCCACAGTCCGACACCATGGTCGATGTCAGGTGAGCCATTCAAAACATTCTGTGTATCACTAACATTATTACATAACTTGTGGCCGGCGATTCTGCAATACCAGGGTCATTGGAAGCAGAGACATCTATGGCATTATCAGAACTATGACAACTGTATTTGTAAAATTGGGTAAACTCGATTCTGTTGTGGTCAGACGCTTACATTCAATCATAGAATCAGTTGTCCGAGTGATGTAAAGTGTTTTTGAGGCAGTTAGTGACTCCAATAATCATATAACATAAACCCTCCTATATGAATGAGCACAATGTCCCACTGAGCGTAAATATCATGCGCCAGAGATACAGACAGCAGCGGATTTGCGTAAAGTACCCCCCAAAGAATATTCAAAACCCAATTACTTTCAATTAACTTGCGTACAGAAACACATGCTTTAAATGAAAAACTCTGAATGAAGATTTTTCAGCATGCTAAAAGGAGCTAATTTCCGAAGCCCAATTACGAACTAATTTACTTTCCGAGTCAAACCCATACATTTAGAACAGTTATATGGTTATATACATCAGAAACATTATTTCATTTTTTTTAAAACTTAATCTGTTCACTCTTTTGGGGAAAAACCTGATAGAGTGATGAATAGATGAGTGAAAAAATATTGGTTACCCAATGAAAAATGTAATAACCCAATTAAAATAGAAACCCTTGAGTAAAAACTCAATTGCTCAAAAAGTTATCTGGAGCTCTGATGTGCCGATCAATAAATTATAGCATGAATCCTAAAAGGCCACTGTCTTGGCAGAACTCGGCATTTATCATTGCTGATAGTCCACCAGTATTACCAGTATTACTAGTACATTGTATTACTACATAGCAACACCCCTAACCTGAACCATCACACACTTACTTGACTATCTGGGCCCTGTTGTTTATAGCTGCCCAGTGGAGGAGGCTGACGTTCTCTTTATCCATCTGGTTGACATCATACCCGGCCTCTATCAGCTCCCTGACACGGTCAAAAGCACCATACTGCGTCGCCCTGACGATGTCAAAGTTTTTAAAGTCCTCTGGACCTGGCACAGCCTGTGGGGCTGATGCGACTTCTGCATCACTGGGAAGATCTGCTCCATGCTCAGTCTGCAACAAATTAATTAGTCCCAATATTCTGCCAAGAGTGAGTGAGTGAGTGAGTGAGTTGGGTTTAACGCCATTTTTAACAGTATTCCAGTTACCGGTATATCACGGCGTGTCAGCTTAATGTGGTAGGAAAGCCCGAAGTGATGCAGGTCTCAGATGTTTACCACTTCGGTGAAACCCACGAGCATGGGTATGGTGCTGACAAACCTAGAAACATAATCGGGGCGAACCGCGATTCAAACCCAAAATCATAGGTTTCTGGCGTGCCCAAGGGACGCAACTCTGCACAGTGAATCGTGGCGCCTTAGACGACTGGGCCACCCGTGCCCCCTATTCTGCCAAGAAACTGAACAAGTGGGGACAGGGACCACTTCAGCATAAATACATGGGGTCATTTTAAAAACTTCTGGGGACACACTCTGAGAGAAGATGTAAAACTGAAAACCCCATGGTATGCAGGTTATTGATGCAAAATCGTCGTCCAAAAGTAACAGTAGCGATATACAAAATTTTAACATGGCATCTTTCACAACTATTACGTATTGCAACAAACACGTCCGAGTCATATATAATCAGCCTCAATAGTTTGTTTGTGATCACTGCCGTAAAACATAACTTGTGGTCGGCGATTCCGCGATACCAAGGTCATTTGAAGCAGAAACATTTTTGGCATTACCAGACTACTATATTTGCAAAAATGTGTAAACTTGATTTGGATTGGACCATCTGTGACTTTCAGCCAATGAAAGGCACTGATAGTAAATTGAGATGCATAAGGCAATGAAAAACATAACATTTACTTTCAATAATAGAAGCCGCTGTCCTGTGACGTAAACTGTATTTGAGACAGTAAGCATGGTAAGTGACTCCCAAAATCATGAAATAAACCCATTTACATGAATACGTCCCTTGTCCCAATGAGAGTATATATCATTCGCCAGTGGATAAAATATTGCGAGAATGCTGCGAAACCGCTGCCTCAGCATAACACTGCAGTCCTTACAAATATCAGGGTTAGTAGACATGGTATAAACTCATCTCACAGTACTTAGTCATTGATCCCTATGCTGATCAGGGGGGACGGGTGGCCCAGTCGTCTTGGGCGCCACAATTAGCTGTGCAGAGTTGCGTTTTGGGCACACCAGAAACCTATGATTGTGGGTTCTATTCAGGGTTTGCCCCGATTATGTTTCTAGGTTTGTCAGTACCATACCCATGCTCGCGGGTTTCACTTAAGGGGGAAACGTCTGAGACCTGCATCACTTAGTGCTCCCCCCTCCAAAATTAAGCTGACACGCCGTGATATAACTTGAATACTGTTAAAAATGGCGTTTCACCCAACTCACACTCACTATGCTGATCACATACATTGTACATGGATAAAGCTCCCTAATTATGCCAATGCTACCGATATAAGGATACAGCATGCTTTGAAGATGGAAGGATGAATATTTTGCAATTAACATGATTAATGAACTAATTACTTAATGAAGATGTTGTACAGGAGCTTTGTTTACTGGTGTAGGAAGTGTATCATAATGCCAGATACCAAGGCTAGTTATGAAGGGGCGGCACCAACAGCTGTTTTCCCTCATAACATAACCATTTTTGGGTAGGTCTATAGCTGCAATGGAAGTGGAGTTTGTTTCAAAGCCTAAAGATTAACAAACATGAGGTGTACAGAATGAAGATTCAAATCACATGTTTTCATTTATGCATTGTTCATGAATGTTTCAAATTTCAAACTCAGATGCTGTATTACATTGTGTATTGATTGGTATTGGCCCCCTGCAAGTTACAACCATTATTTCACATTTCTGACATATTAAAAAATTTACTGCAGTATTAACTTTAGTTATCATGGTTATTCCGAAATTGTGAGCTTGGGGAAAAAGGTTTCTGTCAGTTTCTGTAATATATCATGATATATGGATGAGAAGGAAGCAAAACTGTAGAGATACGATTTTAACATCCAAATAACCAACATGACCAAACATATGCCATGTGATCGAGCATACTTCTTCCATAATCATGATAATACAAATTACATTCTAAAAATATTATGGTATTTCATTCATACATATTTATTGTTGATAAAAACATGTCATAACGAAAAGTATCGCAATGTTTTGCAATTTGTCGACTGCCACGGTCACAAACCAAGATTCCCTCAAAATAATTATCACATGCTCATCCATAACACTATTGACTGAAAATAAGCACAATAGTTGGTTGTTAACTCTTTATTTAGAAGATAATATGACAGACAGAATAAGTACAGACTCCACTTAATGGCTTGTTGTGGGATTTAATCTAGAGGTCTAGTAAAAATTCAATGATTTGCGACAATGTGCATCACTGCATGTTATAACAAGGTGTTGATGATAACTGGTTCTCAGGATCATCTGGTTGCTAGCCATTACAAATTATCATGATTATATTTCAATGTAAAATACAAGTCTGACATTTTGCCATATTGTAGTATTGCATGACCAACAAAGGATTAAGTAATGTATTGAAACAGACTCCTGTATATTTATCATGTCTCTCTCTCAATGCACCACATGTACAAGAATGGGTTTTCTTATGTGAAAATTAATTGTAATGAAAAGAATAGTGCATTTTCAATCATGGTTGCCTCTACAACTGTACTACTTTCATCAGGAAATCATACAAAATTGACAATAAGTCTGCTGTCACACAGGGTTAATTGCGAAACTCTCCTCGCCGTAACATGAATTAAAACTGATTTCGCAATCCTCTCTAACCCACATCACACTGGACACATCCACTGCAGAATGATTAAATATTGATTTGTGGAATACGGGAGTGGCGGGTTGAAGTTACGTCCAATAACATGGAAAGAAATATGGAAATAATCCTTAAATAATAATAGTCTTTAAAACAGTTATAAGAATATCTGATAGCGCAGTGCGAAATGATGATCTGTACGAGCGACTGTCACTCTCCGAAACCAGTTTCAAAATCTACATTCTGTTCGTTCTTTTAACTAACGACATATTTATGCTTGTCATGCTAACTGTATAATACGTGTGTTTGATATTTCAAGCTCCAGAAACGATACATGTTATCATCACTATAATTTGCTAACCTTCTCCAGCAAAGGCTGTATAGGATTACAAGTAGGATCTTTCTCCGCCATTTTGCATTTGTTACCGGCAGGTACGCACTGCTTGACTTCCGGCACTTTTGATTGGTTGAAAACTGGTCTTGGCAACTCGGAGAACTTTATCACATGAATGCACAGATGGGCGTAGATCTTCGCTTGTATGCAGCATATTTCTACTTTAAAAAGTTTGATACGTGTGAAAAATTATCAGACCAATGCATGATATCAGACTCTAAATCTATATTTATTTTGAAGATGGGCTGACATCTATTTTTAAATAAACTAAAACAAAGATACTATCGAAAAAACATGACATCCTAAACTGTGTATGCGTAAATCGTTATCCAGAGAATATAATATGGATGTCGACTTCTTTATTATGAGGTACACAACGTTTCAGGATAAGCATATACACCGAAACATTGTGTTCCGCACAAAAAAGAAATTGATATTCTTTCTCGTATGTCTATCACTTCTAAATGTCATTCTAAGACTTGTACCCCCCCCCCCCCCCCCCCCCCCCCCCCCCCCCCCCACCCCTTACAGCAAGCATGGGTTGCTGTAGGCCTGTTCCAACCCTGAACTTCCAGGGTGTAATGATAATACGAGTTACACAGTGTTCTTTGCGGAATTTTACGAGCTGAATAAACTTGTACAAAGTTGACCCCAAAGTTGTACGTACGTAAAATCTATAATTACAAGTTCACTAGTTACAGAGAAATATATGTGTGTGTGGAAATTAGTTCCATATTTTGACCGCCACTTCAACCACTTTTACGCTATGAATAGATCTATATGATATCCGTATAGACAAGCCGACCAGAATACTCAGAATATCATTTCAACATTACTGCAATAAATCATAGTATGTAATTATAGTATTTTACCTGGTAATTCCGTGGTAGAACTAGCTCCAGGAGTTTTGGTTTGGTTTGGTTTGTTGTTTAACGCCGCACTCAACAATATTCCAGCTATATGACGGCGGTCTGTAAATAATCGAGTCTGGACCAGACAATCCAGTGATTGACATCATGGGCATCGATCCACGCAATTGGGAACGATGACATGCATCAACCAAGTCAGCGGGCCTGACCAGCCGATCCCGTTAGTCGCCTTTTACGACATGCAAAGTCACCTTTTACGGCAAACATTGGTTGCTGAAGACCTATTCTATAAGTAGCCCTAAGCTTGTCGTAAACGTAGGATAAAATAGATAGACTAGGCAGGCTCCGTGACCTGTCTGACTGCATGTCATCCTGCCCCAAGACCCTAGTTTGTGCGACTCAAATTCTATTAATCTAACGCCGCCGTCACATATGTACAATATTGTTAAACAGCGGCGTTAAAAACGCTTACTAAAATACCATCTGTTTATTTTATGTCAGTGCAACATGACAAGGGACTTTTCAGATTTAAATTATGCATGACGAATCCACCGTAAACACTATCACTTATTGGGATATCATGTGTAAACACACGAGAATAGTGACATATCGTATACCAAATAATAATACAAACCCATATTATAAAAATTAGATAAACGATGATTTCATTGCCAAAATTGATGAGCAAATTGATTAGAAACTCACTTCTAGGCATCCAGGCATCTCTGTCGACCAATACTGCGATTCTAAGCCGCCATTATTGAAGGGTTACTGTTTGAAGAACGGAAGGTCAGTAGTTCGATCCCCGGCCGCGTCATACCGTTAAAAGATGGTACTTGTTGTTATCCTGCCTGGCGCTCGGCATTGAGGATCTAAAATCAAGAACTGGCGTGCCTGCGTGCCTGCGTGCCTGCGTGCGTGCGTGCTTGTACTAGTCCGGGCTAATGCCGGTTTATAGTGCTAGCCCACCGGTATTCCATGCCGCAGTTGAAACATGGATACCCCAGTCAGACCCAGTATTCTGACTCCGAGCCGACCAGTCCTTGTTTTAGCCCCTTAATGCCGAGCGCCATACAAGGTTACAACAAGTACCATCTTTTAACGTCTTTTGGTATGACGCGGCCGGGGATCGAACAAACTGAGTGAAAAATAATACATTCAACCGGTTTGGTGTAGTGAGTGTGTATGGTTTTACGCCGCTTTTAGCAATATTCCAGCAATATCACGGCGGGGGACACCAGAAATGGGCTTCACACATTGTACCCATGTCGGGAATCGAACCCGGGTCTTCAGCGTGATGAGTGAACGCTTTACCACTAGGCTACCCGACCGCCCCCCATAAGCCGTATTAATAAGCCACCTAGGTGGTCAAATCGTATATTATTTTTTAATCATTGTTTAATCATGGTCATATTATATGAAACTATCAGTCATAAATATCATTTTGCTATCTAGCAACAACATACTTTATGGGTCTTGATATTCACATACTATTAGCTATAAATCGCTTGACTCATGATATCGTAACAATATGTTAACAAAACAGATAACGTATCAGACAGTGGTAGTCAGCTGAATATAATATGCAGAATCATTGCGAGAGGACATTTTCGAGGTATACATGGCAGCAGCTGTCAGGAACCGTTACGTCTCGCATTACGCTTTCAGCCGTATGTACCAGCCTATACAGCAGACAAGACGCATGTGTTCGCGTCAGTGTAAACACAATTCTGTCTGTGGTATATTTCTGTCTACTTCTGTAACAGCGAACTTCTGTCACTGGAAGAACTCTATCTACTTCTATAAAAACGACCTTCTGTCTGTGGTAGAATTCTATCTACTTCTGTAACAGCGACCTTTTGTCTCATAGAAGAACTATATCTACTTCTGTAACAGCGACCTTCTGTCCCTGTAAGAACTCTATCTACTTCTGTAACAGCGACCTTCTGTCTCTGGAAGAACTCTATCTACTTCTGTAACAGCGACCTTCTGTCCCTGGAAGAACTCTATCTACTTCTGTAACAGCGACCTTCTGTCCCTGGACGAACTCTATCTACTTCTGAAACAGCGACCTTCTGTCTCTGGACGAATTCTATCTACTTCTGTAACAGCGACCATCTGTCTCATAGAAGAACTCTATCTACTTATGTAACAGCGACCATCTGTCTCATAGAAGAACTCTATCTACTTATGTAACAGCGACCATCTGTCTCATAGAAGAACTCTATCTACTTATGTAACAGCGACCATCTGTCTCATAGAAGAACTCTATCTACTTATGTAACAGCGACCATCTGTCTCATAGAAGAACTCTATCTACTTATGTAACAGCGACCATCTGTCTCATAGAAGAACTCTATCCACTTCTGTAACAGCGACCTTCTGTCCCTGTAAGAACTCTATCTACTTCTATAGCAGCGACCTTCTGTCTCATAGAAGAATTATATCTACTTTTGTAACAGCGACTTTCTGTCCCTGGAAAAATTCTATGTACTTTTTTTTAACAGCGACCTTCTGCCTCATAGAAGAATTCTATCTACTTCTGTAACAGCGACTTTCTATCTCTGGAAGAATTCTATTTACTTCTATAACAGCGACCTTCTGTCTCATAGAAGAACTCTATCTACTTATGTAACAGCGACCATCTGTCTCATAGAAGAACTCTATCTACTTCTGTAACAGCGATCATCTGTCTCATAGAAGAACTCTATCCACTTCTGTAACAGCGACCATCTGTCTCATAGAAGAATTCTATCTACTTCTGTAACAGCGACCATCTGTCTCATAGAAGAATTCTATCTACTTCTGTAACTATGACCTTCTGTCCCTGGACGAATTCTATCCACTTCTGTAACAGCGACCATCCGTCTCATAGAAGAACTCTATCTACTAATGTAACAGCGACCATCCGTCTCCTAGAAGAACTCTATCTACTAATGTAACAGCGACCATCCGTCTCATAGAAGAACTCTATCTACTAATGTAACAGCGATCATCTGTCTCATAGAAGAACTCTATCCACTTCTGTAACAGCGACCATCTGTCTCATAGAAGAACTCTATCTACTAATGTAACAGCGACCATCTGTCTCATAGAAGAACTCTATCTACTTCTATAACAGCGACCTTCTGTCCCTGGACGAATTCTAGGTACTTCATAACAGCGACCTTCTGTCTCATATATAAAAACTCTATCTACTTCTATAACAACGACCTTCTGTCTGTGGTAGAATTCTATCTACTTAATAAGAGCCACCTTGTGACAAAGGTAGAAGCCTATTCACGTCTATAATGCACAATCGGACAAGACAAATTGATTGAATAATTCGCCAATCAATTATTTGTTCCCCGTCTCCTTATTTATTCTAATTTAGAATGCATGATTTTCTAACCAGGACTGGGTTGTTTAGGGTTGGAACACACACATACACGCGCGCACACGCACACACACACACACACGCACACACGCACACACGCACGCACGCACACACATTTTGAAGCATACATGTATTTGACAATTATTTATACATTTGGAACTTTTATTGGTTATATGGTAGACTGTCAAGGTGTTACAACTCTATAACTAAAGGAATTTTGGCCAAGGCGTTTAACCTAAGCTTCAGAAATATTGATGATCATTCAATAAAGGCCAAAGCTAATTCCCTTCCACTGATTTACCCACCTGAACAGGAAATGAAAGAGACCACTGAAACAGTCTCACCTGTGCCATATTTAAATCTATGCATAAAGATTGAGAGTCGCAAACAACTCTCTGTAAGACAGCGTTGTTGCCATGGAGATATCTACTAAATGTCTTACCCCCAAGTTTCACATACGTTGTCGATGTTATCGGCGAGGAAGTCCAGCATTTCACATAGTGTTTTCTTATGTTTTGACATTATTGGACCTGTGATCCGTTGAGAATCCACATGGTTATAATTCCACTTGTGTCAAATATTGTCTGTGAAAATAAAGAGAAACATTCCTTGATTGTATTAAAGGGGAAGTGTACACGCAAAAGTTACTTTCTTTCTTTTTCTAAACAAAACGCAATTTTAGAATTAGTTAGTATCTGTGTTTGAAAATATGCACTCATTGTTTCACAATGAAAGTAGGAAGCTCACAATAGTGTGAAAATGATATGCCGTTATGAGGCCTTCGTTTTTCGAGCTAAACAGGCCTGAGTTATCCCCCTTAGATTATGACGTAATT